ATGCTGACTCTCTGTAAACCGCTTAGAGAGGCCTGAAAGGCCTATGAAGCGGTATATAAGTCTACTGCTATTGCTATTGCTATTGCTATTGTTGATCACTATATTGGGAAGTCATGCTGGAAAATCATAAGAACGTGGCTTCTTTGGGTAAGAACATGCCAGACATTTTATCAGGATAAAAACTACAAATTTGGAAAAGAAAATAAAGAAGGTGTTAAGTCCTCGGGGGTTACGACGCCACCTGAAGACATTGCTGGCTGCCTGACACTCCTAATTGGCTGAGACACAAGCAGCCAGCTGGCAGGAGAACGCAGCCTCCTTATTGGTCCGCCCTCTGACAGCCCCATACAAAGCAGAAGAGTAATGTGATTATTGAACAAGAAAAAAGTATGATGAAATTAAAATAGAGAGAAAAGGCAAATCCCCCCTTCTAATGTTACATTATAGTGCCCACCTTTACCTAATTTATCCTTTCTAATCTTCAAACACAACTGTGATCACAATTTCTTTCTTTTTTTCACTCAAAAATCCATCAGTGGCTTTCAATCTCTAATAAATATTAATATTATCCTCCGCCTAATCAGAGTCAATTTAGTCATCATCGAGGATTCTTTCATCTTCCCCAGCCATCCCACCATTCCAGTTATTGTAGAGTCCTTATAAACTTTTTTGTTTATAATAGTCTCACTATGGTTATCATACTCAGAAACAAATTCTTGAAGGATTTGCTCTAAGTTTGAAGCGGTTAGTTATTCATTATGTTCAAACTTCTGATGCTTTATTCTTTTTCCCTAAAGTTATTTTAGTTTTTCTTTTCCTATGAAGGTTATGGCGAAGAAGAGGATGAAGATTTCAGGAAAGTATTGCAAATGGTCAGTTGTGGATACAATACAAAGAATCCTATAATTCTAATGGAAGCAGAAAGTGATGATAGAAATCAGTCAAATAAGGGGGTGAGGCCGGTGCTGCGGTGCATCGCATTATTATATGCTGAGTCTGCAAATGGTAGGCCTAACTAGTCTGATTGTTGATAGGATATGTAATGCCTCAGGTAGCATTCCACCATAGCATTGGCTCTTTCAGCCACTCCTTTGGTGCTAGGGTAGAAGGCCAAACTTAACCCGTGTGAGGACCCAATCAATCGTATAAAGTCCTGCCAAAAGTACTGACCCTTTTTTGGCCTCTAGAAGGTAGGTGGGGGCCAGCAGATAGGTAGGGTGATATGGGCGGGGTACCCTTGTCGTACTGTGCAGGCCAGATTAATGGCTTCAGTGGGTCATATCCAACTTGAGGGTTGTAGTTTGAGGACCCCTGATCAGGGATGTCAAACTCGATTTCATTGAGGGCCAGATCCGGGTTCTGTTTGACCTCAGAGAGCCAGGGTAGTGGTGGTCATGGCTGGGATGGGTGTGACCATGGTGGGTATGACACGAGATACATGTTGGGGGGAGGGGGGACCTGTGGTGGCCAAGTGCTAAGGCAGGACTTCCCTGAGACACACTCTTATAATCTTTCATTCCTTCCCTCTTCATTCTAATTTCTTCTTCCTTTCCCTATTTTTTCCCTTGCTCTTTCCCATCTTTTTTTCTTTTCCTCTTTCCATTTCTCCTTCCGGCCCCTTCTTGCATTCTCAAATACAGAAGTGGAAACATTTCTCCTTTTGTTTTTAGTTTTGATAGCCGTCTGCCGGCCAGAATAGGAGCCTGTGCCCCATTTTGGGCCTGTACAGCCTCCCACAACACCCTGAAAGCCAAAATGGGGGGGCCACGCAGATGGTCCATCATTTTCTCTAGCAGAGGCAACATGGGTTGTTCCTTTGCTATTTCCAGACCAGCCTCGTAGGCCAGATGTAAGCAACTGCAGGCTGGATTTGACCCATGTGCCTTGAGTTTGACACTCCTGCTTTACATAATTTGTCCTTTTTAATCTTTCAGTACAAGTTTCTTTTTTCTTTTCTTTTTTAGCAAAGTATAGCGAGTTGACTGTGCTGAGAGGGTCATGGCAAGTTGGTTGTGGTGAGTTGCCCATGGCTGGTTGTCCCATTTCCACATGTGAGATGGATGTTACTGTTATAAGCAAGAGAGGAAGAGAAAAGTTTGCTTCTGATGGGTACCTCTACATATCCAGTAAGCTGAGTGAAGTTGATTCTTCAATTCCATTTTGGCACTGTGAGCAGTGTTCGAAATGCAAGGCCAGAATTCATACCAGAAACAGAAAAGTAATCAATGGGTATTCCCACTTGCCTCCAAGAAGCGAATGTAGAAGCGGTAACATTTGTGACCAGGATGAGCTGAAGAGACAATGGAAGGGAGTTATTAATACCTCTCTGGCCAAGTTATTAATACCTCTCTGGCCAACATGAGCCCGGTGGTCCATGCTGCACTTCTTAGAGCTTCTGTGTTATTAAAAAAAGACTATCCAGCAGATGAAAACCAATACAGGCAGCACCATTGGACCCAGTGAGCCTGGATGACCTTCTATTACCCAAGGAATACAAGGTTCATTCACCAACTTCAGGTGTAGAAGAGCCATTCTAACTTCACAATTTCGGAGAGTGATTGAGCCGGATCCAAATATTTGGCTGAAGTAGTTGGTTGTATATCCTAAATCATCTAACACCTGGTATGTGGATGGCACTTTTGCTATTGCTGCCAAACTGTTTGCTCAGGTTTATGTGATCCTAGCAAAGAAGTATGAGAGCATGCCCGCTGTGTTGCGCTACATACAAATTGTTTTTCAAGTTCGTGAAAATCCTAGTAGCTAACACCCAGCCGCGGACCATTCTCTGTGATTTTGAAATGGCTGCATAAATGCCACTAGGGAATACTTCCCAGAAGTGACACTAAAAGGCTGCTTGTTCCACTTTATTCAACATAAGGAAGCATTTGGTAAAAATTGCAGCTGCCCATGAATTCAACACCAATGCAATTTGCTGCGAAAGCAAAAATAGTTTCAGCTTTGGCATTAGTGCCTGTCCTGGACTTGGACGAATATGTTGCTGCTCTAGAAAAATATCTGCCAGGAGAGCTGCGACCTCTATGGAACTCTGGTTCAAGGACAGTGACATAGGTCATCCAGGTAGGAGAGGGCAAGGAAGATGACTACCTTTGTTTGCAACAGCCCTGTGGAATCTGTTTGACTGAACGTAAAGTGGAGAGGATTGTATAAACGATTTCTGTAGTTGCTCAACGACGACTGTGTATTCAATTGGGATTGTACCGTCCAACTATTTAGAAGTTTATTGATGGTCTGCGGAAAGACAGAGATGCAATTTATGAACAACTCCTTTCAGAACATGGTCCTCCACTGAAACTGAAGAAATATTGTGTGGCAGATGATCGCATTGCCAGGCTTGTCAGTGAATACTGCAACCAACAACCCACAGTATGTTGAAGATACATTGAACAACGTTGGAAGCTTGCAGAAACATTGAACGTATTTTTCCAATTGGGTAGTTTATCCAGGACTGTGTGTTCATAACATCAAAGACTGAGACCTGTGTGGAACAATTGATGTACCAACAGTGATGTGATATACCTTTCTTTTTGGGAAGCAGACATATAATTTGGGTTTCTCTGTAGGCATACATCCTATAATCAGCCCAAATAAAAAACTACACCCACAGTTCTCAGCTGTTAACGAGTTCATTCAAAGTGAGTAATGTTTTCAGCTTAGGAAAGCTACTGATCGAAAGGAGCGTTGATTTTGATGCCACTGTTCTAGCAGTGTTGTAGCAGTGGGTACAACCATCTAAGACCGTGATGAAATGGTGCTTCATATTATGCATCTAACATGCAGCTATTCACTGTTGACTGCAACATTGAATGTTATAAATTTTGTCACGTTATTGCAGCATGTACAGAGTTAAGCCAATCTAATCAAATGCAACCCCATTGTCTAATGCAGAAATATACATAGATCATAGGAAGTATTTCATTTCATGGGGAGCTGTGAATTTACCAATTCAGTATGACAGCATATAGATTGTGGCAAGATTTTCTCCACGTCACAATTTGCATGCACATTTCAAGTGTGTGGAAACAGATGGCCAAACTAACAATGCCCATCTTGGATGATGGTCCAACGCACATCATCTACCTGTGTACTAAATTAGTACACATTACTACTGCTAATCTCTAGTCACTAGGGCAGAAAATTGATAACGTTTAGCTACGGTAAGTTTATTTCAGAATCAAAATAGAGCTGGAAGGGACTTTGGAAGTTTTCTAGATCCTATACTATTTCAGACAAGTGTCTATCCAGTCTCTTCTTAAAAATCTCCAGTAATGAAACACCCACAACCTCTGAAGGCAAATTGTTCCACTGGTTAATTGTCCACACTTAGGAAATTTCTCCTTAATTCCAGGTTGTTTGATTAGTTTCTTGCCTTACCTTCTGGTGCTTTGGAAAATAAATTGACCCACTCCTCTTTACGGCAGTTTCTCAAATATTGGAATACTGCTAAGATGTCACCCCTAGTCCTTCTTTTCTCTAGACTAGCCAAACCCAAATCCTACAACCTTTCTTCATGGCTTAGCTTCCAGGCCATTAATCATTTTAGTTGCTGTTCTTTGCGGTTTTTTCCAAAGCCTCAACATCTTTTTTCTAATGGAAGTGACCAAAACTGGATGCAATATTCCAGGTGTGGTCTTACTAAAGCTTTATAAAGCCTTAGGTACTAATACTTCACAGGATTTTGATTCTATGAATATGCTGTGTATCTTGTGGCAATACGGGAAGCACAGGTAGTCTTAGAAATGATTGGCCTTGATTACAATGCGGATAGTTTTCAATTTATTATATTTTGCAGAAAGGAAGATGTAAGGCACTGTAAGTGCATGCCACTCTTTCCCTTTGCTTGAGTAGCAGTTAGACTTAAATGCTGTTTCACAGTGCTTTACAGCCCCCTCTAAGCAGTTTACAGAGTCAGCATATTGCCCCCAACAATCTGGGTTTTCATCCCACCGATGATCTCTGGAGGGCCAGAGATGGAGGCTATGCGTCCATCCTGGTTCTCCTTGACCTCTCAGCGGCTTTCGATACCATCGACCATGGTAT